ACGCAGATTATTTCTAATATAGTCCGTCATTTTTGATGAAGATGAAAATGATGCTGCAGGTGACAATAATTTATTCCTTGTTCCAATAACTAAATTAGACACTTTGAATTTCAATTTCTGTAATCACAAATTATTTTTCGATTAGTATACCGTTGGAGAATTGTTCAATTGTATTTTTTTTATTTTTTTTCTATAATATTATTAAATATTTATTATTTTACTAATCTAATATAACGTCAAATAAAAGTAAATTTTCATTTAAAACAAAGTTTAATCCGACATTAATTTTTTTGTTATGACCCCTAAATATAATGATTAATTTAAACTAACTAATTAAGTATAAATAAATTGATTAAATACTGATATACATACTAATAAATGTAATAGATATACAAAAAAAAATATTAGGGATCCCTCACGGTTTTAGAAATGCCGTAAAAATTCGGTATTTATACGATATGACTGCTGTATTTTTACCGTAATACTTCAATTATTTTAGCCAGTTTTTTTGTCGAATTATTCCGAAATAAATTCATAATATTTACGGCAATACAATAGAAAAATTACGGTATAGTAACAGCATTTCAACCGTAAATGTACCGCATATTTACTGTATATCTGCGGTACTATTGCAGTAAAAAACCGGAAAAGAAGATGCCTACTTTCTGTTACCGGCAAAATACCGAAAATATGGTGCTTTACTACTATTTTTCAGTAGCTTAAAATTTTTAATTTCCCGCAAAAAATTTCAGATTTTCAAAAATCGGGAAGTTATTGTTTTTACCCCGTTTTGCAAAAATCGAGTTTTCATTAGATCTCGACGTTTTAAGGTCATAGGAAGCTTCCCTGACTACCCCCGCGGTGGTGTCTGTATGTATGTATGTGTATATGTATGTGTATGTGTGTGTGTGTGTTTTTTTTTTTTTTTTTTTAGTAGATTTCATAGAAATCTAACTATTGCAATGGTCCTCATGACGAAACTTGTAAAAAAATTTTGCATAATAATATATAGAGTCTTTGGGGTAAATGTGCGCAGTGGGTAAGCGTGCGCAAACCCATTCATTTGAGTCCCAAATACATGGGATTGCGCACACTTACCCACTGCGCACATTTATCCCAAATGACTGTAATTAGATGCAGCATTTTTTAATGATTATATTTAATAAATATTTTGTTGAGTTAATTTGTTCCATTTACAATATCATATGATATGAAGATTGCTTATAAACAAAAATCATCTTTATAAATGATTTTGATTATTTATATTACATAATAATAACGTTTATTGTAACATACCGAATTCTATCACAGCTCATAATTATCTTTTAAATTTTTCAATATTAAAAACGTTA